CAGGGGCAATAAAATCAACGACCACTGCATCAATGGAACCGCTTCTGGACCTTCCGTCTCTTTACATAGTGACACAGAACTCTATCGACAACAAAGTGTGTTGGTTGGGAATAGGACAGAAACAGGACAGTTAAAGATAGGGGATTCTATCGGGGAAACGATTCCAAATGAGATCGTACCAAATGAATCGTCTTTGTCACTACCACAAACCATTCGAAGTGACAATACAACATTCCTTCAGGACGGATTAACCTGGTATACAGACGGCTCAAAGACTGCTGACCGAACAGGAGCTGGAGTATTTGTTCTTTTTTTGAATCCTTTTCCTTGGGTAAATACTTAACCGTGTTCCAGACAGAAATCTTCGCCATTCTACAATGCGCGAGAGAAAATAACAGAAGAGCTTACTAAAGTAATCTCATCAATATATGCTCAGACAGTTAGGCGACACTTATGGCGCTTATGAGCTCAGGTATCGTCGAAACTCATCTGTGAATATCTGGGTGAACTGGGAGCTCCGACTTGAAATAACAGAATTAAATTATTCTGGGTGTTGGTCTACAAAACATCGAAGGCAACAAAAAAGCTGATGAACTAGCTAGGCAAGGATCATCAAAATCATATCTTGGTCTAGAACCAGTCCCGGGAATACCCAAATGTATGGTCCGTAGTGCAGTAAAACTCTGGATGAGGGAAAAGCAAAATGTCCTTGGTGGTTAGGTTGCAGACAAGGTTTGAGGGACAAAAAGAATAGTCAATAATTGTCAGATAAAAAAGATTAAGTCGGACTACTAATACATTTCAACATATGCCTGCAAAATAAGACAAAGCCTGCAAAATAAAACACTTGTTCACCACAATACACCAAAACACTTTACTTTTGTACTGGAAGCGCATTTCGTTAACAATGTTAGCATCATCAGCAGATGATTAAAACTAAAAACTAGGTTTTTAGTTGTAACTGATTTTAAACAGTTAATGGCTAGTTAAAGTCATGTCGATAGATTGTACCAAAAGCAACTTGACCGTGTACGACACGTGTCACTGTGATAGTTAATTTTGATGTAAGAAACTACAATGCTTAGACCAAAAACCCAATCTAGTGTTAGTTTCGGAGTGTAATGAATATCCGAAAAAATAGTTATGTATATTGGAAAGACAATGAAAGCTCTACCGTTATGTTTCAAACAAAACCTCAGTTTTAGCAAAGAAAATTTTAGTTAACACAGAATTATATTTTCTTTGGTCAAACGTAAGACTTTGTAATATTGATCGAGATGAAATGCCGAAAATGAAACACTATTATACCGATAATCTTACAAATTAAATAATAAAGTGACGATGATCTGGTTCAGCAAGCAGAAGCATAGTTTTAAACGTGCGGGCACTAGTGTTTTATTTTGCTGTTGTAACACCAAAAGTCCCAACCCCCAACTGAAATTACCTAAGTTTAATGTATTGCAATTAACTGGACAAAGGAAAACAATAACCACCTCTTGAGACGTTCACAGGATAGCCTAAATCAAACTAAATAACCAAAAATATCCGAAAAAATGTGTAATGAGTAATAATCATTAATCAATCAGGGGGACAATCGTAACCTCAAACCTCCGTCATGCCTGCGCCTGTGACATCTTGACATTGTCGACATTTACTACATAGTCGACGTATTGTCGACGTGTCGATGTCAACAATAAAAGTCGATGCGTCGAAGCCCAACTCTCATCTTCCAACTCGCCCAACTCTCAACATGCATCTTTTCTCGATAATTTATTTTTTATTTCATCTCAACAGCTTCTTTTTGTAGGAGATGTTCGCTTTTGAAAAAGACTGTAACGATTTACAAAAGTTTAAAACAAACACAATTAAACTTTTCAAATCCAGTTTTCCAACCACACAATACAATTTATTGTTTTTCAATTAAATTAGTTTTTCCAGTGCCTCGCACCCATTAATTTGTTCAAATATTGCTTTAAAAAACATCAACATCAGCGCTAATGGAAACTATACTTTCATAACAGCACCAAAAAACTGTTTACTTTTGTTATTTTGCTTATATTTTATTTCTCATTTTATTCGAACTAAAAGTGGTGTAAGGTTTTAATGGCATCGTAAAAAATTCTATTTTATGCCCCTGTTTTGTAGTACATTAATTAATTATAAAACGTAATAAAATTTTAATTGTATAATGTAAAATAATATTAGTAAATAAAACCCAAACGAGTTTAGGATATATAAAATTTTAATGTTCTTTCACAAAAAATATTGGAAAATATATAATAAAAGGTAAAAAAGTACGATGCAAATATATACAAAGCAGAATTGATTTTTTTGTAGTCCTATATACATTTTTGCAAGAATATAGTTAAAAGTTTCAAGACAAACATGCAGAATTAGTAAAAATGGATATGATCTGTTAAATAAAGATTTTTTCTGATTAGTAGAATTGATTAACAGAAAATGGCAAAAATATGTATGTCAGTTCTATGAGAATTTTAACATAGAAACACTATTTTTATTTTAAAATAAACATGGTTAAAAATTATACAGTTCCGGCAATAGTGCGTCGGGCATCTATAGATCCTAAAATAAAAAAAACTTATGAATTTTGTTTAAGTGCAAACCTAAAGTATATATTAGGAGATATTTCAGAAAAATAATTTAACCTCTACAGAGTGGCTCAACAGAAGTATGAGTGGATCGGGATGATTTTTTTTAATAGAACACCCGGTATATTATTGCATTTTTGGCTTTCTTTCTGATCATTTTACATAATCCTAAGATATTTTTAAATATGTTTTGATAGTTTCAGAGATATTAATAAATAAATAAAAAATATATTTTTTCGGTTTTTCTTAAAAAAAATATTAGATGGTCTGTACCTACTTTGCCATAAATATCGTAATCTTAAATCATATAAGGTGTTCAAAATTATACACCAAACTTAATATAAACTTACTTATTATATTATTACCGGTATAATTATAATTTTTTTATATTACTTAAAATATAGAATAATTTTTCTTCGTTTTTTTTTAAATCTACCACGTATATTATTTTTTAATAGATGGGAAATTAAAAAAACGAACATTTTATGCATTTAGAGTATTTCAAAATTTTTAACGGCTTTGTAGATACTCGCGGTATTATTTCATATGGCTCTTTCAACAGTAAAACACGACAGAAAAATCATTGGATGGCTTTGATAAAAGTTTACTGTGGAAAATGCCATATGAAATATAAAACCGCGAATAGCTGCAAAACCGTTAAAAATATTGAAATACTTTCAATACAAAAAATGTTCATTTTTTAATTCGTCATCTACTACAACAGTAATATACAGGGTGTTCTATTTAAAAAAAAAACAAAAAAAATGTATTTTATATTTTAGAAAGCTTGGCGTAGAATACCCTGTATGATTTAAGATGGCGATATTTATAACAAAGTAAGTACAGATCATAAAAAGTAAATGCCTAATATAATTTTCATTTCAAGACAGTTCTCTTTAAAAAAAAATAAGAAAGACTGAAAAATATATATTTTTTATTAGTTTATAATAATTATCTCTGAAATTATCAAAATATATTTACTCACATCTTAAGATTGTGTAAAGTAATCTGAAAGGAAGCCAAAAAAGCAATAATATACATGTTCCATTTAAAAAAAAATTATCCCGATCCACTCACATTTTTTGAACCACCCTATAGAGGTTAAAATATTTTCCTGAAATACATCTTCGTACATACTTTAGGTTTGCACTTAAATAAAATTTCCAATTTTTTTATTCTAGGAGGTACAGATGCCCGATGCACTATTGCAGGCCTCTGTATAACTTTAAATAGTCAAAAACTATCTGTAAGGCCAGTATTACACTATCAAATTTCTTTGTCAAAGATTTTATTTTGTCAAAGAATTTGACAGTGTAATATGTGTGATTTTATAAAATATTGTATATTGACACTGTCAATATTTTTATAAAATATCGTTTATAAGAGATCTTTGACAATGAAATAATTATATTTAATAAAAATATAGTATTGGATATTTTTATTAGATTCTTATTATTTTGTTATTCAATCAAAAATATTAGTTTTTGAAAAATTAACGAGAATTAATAGTTTTTGGTATATCTTTAATACCTACATAATACATTAGCAATTCTATACTTGAAAATGTTATCTTTAATCAACTTACATAAATAAACAAGAATAAAAATAGTTATTTTTTATACAAGACGATAAAATGGTATTTTATCGTCGACCGAAAAGATTAATTCACGAGTGATGAAATCGCGAGTGAATTAATTTCGGGAGACGTTAAGGCAATTTTATCGTCGTGTATAAAACAATATTTTTTTCCATAGCCAGTTACGTTTTAAAAAATATGCAGAAATTATTATTTCAAGGAATTTATTACGAGTAGAAAAAATATTGTGCTGGGTTGGCGTTGGTTTCTATGTAATTTGACAAATAAATAAAGCTGTCTCTTTAGTTGTCAGTTTTGAGTCAATATTTTTTAATTTTCTTTCGTATTGATTGCTGATTAAATTGGAGCCAAAAATGGCTCAAAACGAAATAAGTAAATTACCAACAGATATTCAGGCTGAGGCGAAAAACGCCATATCCAAACTACTTCCATTTAAATCCCGAATAACTTATAAAAAGGAATACAAAAATTTTCAAAAATAGAAGCAATTAAAAAACGTGCGAGAAGAAATAAAGTTTTTAACCTATCCTCGCTGTTAAAGTATCATTTAATCTACCCTTGCGGTTAAAGTACTATTTTAGCTACTATTTTTGATATATATAAGGCAGTTTTAACAGTTGCTATGGAAAAAAATATACTACTTTATTTTATTATGCTTTAACAACCAAAAAACAGCTAGAATTTCATGAACAAATCAAACATATTTTTGCCGCTTTCCGTATATTTCGAGATCTTGAGCCAGTAACACCAAACATCAAATAAACACCCATGAAGCCCACGTGCGCACTACTCACCTGCAAGTAACGTAGCTGTAGGGCAGCGGGAGAGTCGCCGATGACTTCCGAAGCTTCCCGAAGTGCGCGCGAGGCCTTTTGTTCACCTTCGGCTGCGATGACCTTGGCTCGGGCCTCTCGGGCGGCTTCGGCTTCGGCGGCCATGGCTCGCTGTAGTTGGACTGGCAAACGGACGTCTTTTCTGGAAGAGCAGAAACAGTTCTATTTAATCTTTGAATAAAATGATTATGAAAGGAGCATATCAAAAAACTTAGGTCGAGCGCTTTAAATAATTAGAAGGTGTCTGTGCTAAATAACTAACGTATTTTCGAAATATGTATGAAATTTTTTACGAACACTAATCCTAACATAATATGTTATTTAATAAGCTTATTCAATATTTAAATTAGAAACTCTTCAGATTAAATCCATTTATTTCCATCCAATTTACTTGAAATCACTTATAAAAAACAACAAAACATCGAGTATATAGAAGCCACCACAAACACAAAATCATAAAAAAAATTCTGCGGAAATGCATCATTCTCTTTTTTCCGATTTTAGAATAACTGGAATCATGAAAACGTGTTCCTGCTTTACATCCTAAACACTTCTCTTGTGTAGGTATGAACTTAACCTAGTAGATACTGTATACTGTAATTTACCGTACCGAGGAAAAAAGAAAATAAACAAAAACGAACCAACAAACCTAACCAAAGTAATCAAAACACGCTGTAAGCTAAAACGCGTCTGTTTTAAGAAATTAATAAAGTAGTAAACATTTCTAGAATGAAATACAAAAACATGTTGTCATGTAGGTTTCGGCTATTCTAAAGTTGAAAAACTGAAAATGATGTTTTCTTTTCGATCATACGGTATTACTATTTATGTTATCTCATATCGTTACGTATCAGTGAAAGTCACTCTTCTTTTGACGTTATTAACTTATGTTCTTATCTTTCCATATCATATTGACATTATTACCAATTCAGTCTCGTGATTACAATATAAAGTAAAGTATAGTACAGATTAATATAAAACCTTATTAATATTTGAACTACCTATTAGATAAAAAAACAATTCTAGACTCGTGTTGAAGTTCTGTAATTAAAGTCATGATTTCCATAACATAATTTATCTCTGAGTCAACTCGTAATTTTCATATGTAAAACTTTTCTAGGGTTATTATTTTCCAAATATTTTTGAAAAAAAAAACCTTTATAATCGAAACGTGTGATTTAAGAAATTAGATTAAGTAATAGGTATACAACAAGAGTACTTTTTAGAGAATAATGGATTTGATTGATAATTTTGATATTTATGCTTCTTTAAAGCTCTTAGCACTGTGCTATATTTTTTTATATTTTCTCCAATACTTCTTATATTAATATTCTTATACTCTTCCACATGAAGTAAATTATCCCGGGGCAACTAACTTTATCATAGTGATATTATTCTCAATTGTTTAAAATTATACGTGGACAACTTAAGGTATACTGACATTTGTCTGGTTTTGCGTTGTTACCTGGTCAGTTTTAATTTAAGAATAGATGCAATTTTTCTTAAATTTATTAAAGTCGGCTTGTGCAAAATTTATGGTTATGACTTGTTTTCATTTTTGTTTTCAATTCTACATTATACGTTATATCATGTCTTACTTTCATAAAAAAATATCTAAAAAACGCCTCAAAACTTCAAAAAAAAAAGATAAAACGTGGCAACTTATCATTTTTCTGTTTACATGTGGTTTGTGTAAAAGCAAACTATCTAGGTAGAACACAATCCACTAACTGGACCAGAACCGTTCTGCTTCCTAAATGGAAACTAACTTAAAGCAGCACTGAAGAACCACTCTATCCGTAAGCTGGAATAGAAATTCTCCAAAGGTCTAAGACACTCGAAGGTATTTATCAGGATTTACGACCGAAAAAAATCAAAGGTTTTCCTTGATTTAAGTAAGAAAAATCTTCGGATTGTCACGGAGTTTTTAACAGGACATTGCCCCCTCAATGAACACCTCAGTAGACTGAAGCTAAAAAATAACAGCGAATGAAGACTCTGTGGGGAAAATGAGAAATCAGAAGACCACAGCTATGTACAGGGTGTCCCATTTTGCTTGAAATCATACGGTATCTCCGTTATTAGTGAAGATAGAAGGGTGCGGTTTGCACAAACCTGTCTCACTTTTTTGTCAAACGGAAGATGCCGTAAACAAAATTTTCATAGCCCTCTTCGTTTCCGAGCTACAGGGTCTTTTTGAAAATTTTGCAATTTGGGACACCTCCTGTATCTCTGTTATTGTTAAAGCTATCGAGAAGGTGAAAACTGCTTATTGTAGAACTTTTTACGTAGAATACAGTGGCGTAGTCTGTTTTTCTACCAAAAAAATATTTTTGAAAATATGAACTAAAGTTATGTTTTTTTAAATGGAACACCCTGTATATTTATAAATCATATGATCTGTCTTGCCATAAGCTTCTCAAAAATATATATCACTCTATATTTATTTTCACTATTTACTGCAATATTTAAAAGTTTTTATTAAAAGATCATATTTATTAGTAGGCCATGATTGATAATAAAAGAAACTAAAGAATTATTAAAAGTATACTGCTATCTGTCTCTTGTTTTATTTTGGGAGCCGCTAATAAATTCTTTATATATTAGGGAAACTTAACTCTCTACCGCTATTTGTAAATCTTGGAATACGTGTATACGTAAGAATAATCTATCGTATCGGAAATTTTAGATATTCCTTTAGCTAATTTACGTGAAATATACTTTCAGCAAGATGGGGAACATTCCCCCTCATAACTATGGAAATATTAGAATACTGTTAAATTATTATTTTTCAAATCAATGAATTGGAACCAATGAACGCATATTGATAGCCTCCTCGATTCCCGGATTTCGCCGTTCTCGATTTCTGATTTTGGGGATTTTTGAAATACGAAATATATCGTGGGCACTACAACAATGTCGAACACCTGAAAAATGCTTTAATAATTCAAGATTTAGATATTTGCAAACCCATCCCGTTATAAAAAAAAAGAAAAATATATTCACAGTTTCAGTGGTAACAGTTATTTCACAAGTAAAATATATCAATCCCAAATAAATTTTAATATGTGTATGACTATTTTAGTAAATACCATTTTGATCTTTTGTTATTATCACGGCCTACTAATAAGAAAATGATATATTTCAAATATTGCAGTAAATAGTGAAAATAAATATAGAGTGATATATATTTTTGAGAAGCTCGTAGCAAAACAGATCATATGATTTATAAATAAATAGGGTGTTCCATTTGAAAAAACCTAACTTTAGTTCATATTTTCAAAAATATTTTTTTGGTAGAAAAACAGACTACGCCACTGTATTCTACGTAAAAAGTTCTACAATAAGCAGTTTTCGCCTTCTCGATACCTTTAACAATAACAGAGATACAGGGGGTGTCCCAAATTGCAAAATTTTTGAAGAGACCCTGTAGCTCAGAAATGAAGAGGGCTATGAAAATTTTGTTTGCAGCATCTTCCGTTTGACGAAAAAGTGGCACAGGTTTGATTTAATAACGGAGGTACCCTATGATTTCAACCAAATGGGACACACTGTACAACCGTATCAACTACTGGCTTTTGTCAAAACCCAGAGACTGTATAAAATTATAACTCAAGAAAAGGGGACAAAACAGATTCATAAGGTGCCGGTGATAAACTTCCTACTCCCACGCAGATAGAATCTACAATGGTTTGTATATCTTGGGTACCTTCGTTTTGTACAGTACGACTTTTACTATTTAAATAAGATGAATACGCTTTGCATAATTCTAAAAATCGTGACTGTCAAAGCCGTGTCACAAACATTACTTAAATTACTTAATTAATTTACATTTTTTATTAGGTTTGTCTTTTGTGTACTTTGTATAAACAATATTCATTTTAGTGACTCATTGAGACTTGTCATTGAGACAGTCGGGTTTGAGCAAATTTTGAGAGCTATAAGAAAATGGCCGTTCCGGTTAATATTGTAAACAAATTCGGCTTGCCGCCTTTGTAAATTTTCCCTTAATTAGTATTTTAATAAGTAAAAGTTAGGTTTTCATCAAAAGCGACTTTTATTTACTAAGAACCATGAACTCATTATAAAACGAGTAGTTTTATATCGCTGTTCCTGACAATGTAGAATGTAGAATGTTTAGGAGAGGAGTTAATCACCGCGACCTTACAGATCTATTGTGTGTTCCCCTTTCTTCAGTTATAACGAGTTATAACTCATCATACAGCCTCAAGGCTTTAGCAAAAGCCAGTATGTGAGACGGCTCCACAGAGGCCAGCTTTTGTTAAAGCCCTGAGACTGTATGATGAGTTATAACTCGTGACAATGACTTACATTTCAACTCGTTCCACATTAATACCCCACGAGTCGGTCGCCTCATCCAACAGGGCCTTCATGTGCTGAGAAATGCTCTCCCTCTCGCTGAGGATCTCGTGCAAGGGACGCTGGCCCATGATGTTACGCAGGGTGGTCTGAGCAAGCAATCTGGTCGAATGGTGGGCGTTTTCCACGTTGGCAATGGACACCGTAGCGTTGGACACTCTGTAGTAGACTACAGCGTCGACTGAGACGGTTACACTGTCCTTGGTGAGTACCTGAAACGAGACAAAAGGTCTAGTTAGTTTTAATTCCAATAAAAATAGCAACCAATGACAGATGATAAGCAACAAATTAACAATTAAAAAGTTTATTACTATGTTTCTATTTTTTAGTATTAGGTATACACAATTTATTATAAATTGAATAAGGGGTCTTTGTTAGCCGACCATACCAACAGGTATGGTAGGCTATTAAGATCGGCAAAAAAAAAGTTTTTTTTTAATTTCACTCAAAATGAGTTATTTGGGTCATAAATGATCTAAATACAAAATATTTTCATGGTGTCTGTTTGTCTGTTCGTCTGTCTGTAACGCGATAAATCAAAAACCGCTAAACCGATTTTAACCAAATTTGACGCAAAAATACTGTGGCACCCGAGAATCTGGCCATTAATTTTTGGTGGGGGTGGGGGTTGGTAAGGGGGTATGGGAGGGGGTTAAAAATTTAAAAAAATCCTAACCCCAAAATTACAGTAGCTAGCGAAACACGGTTTTCAATTTAAGATTAGGAATAATATTTGCAACAAAATTTGTAATAACATCAAAATCAGTCACAGTCGCAGTTTTTGAGATAAAAAAAATAGGAAAAATTCCTTTACTTTGGAGCTAAAAGAACTGCCTACCAACTTTTTATTAACATATTTTAGTATGGACGGCTATACGTGCCTCCCGGCGCCAATTTTTTTTAATGTTATTATTGATTTTATAATGTACTTCATGTACAGAGTGATTCACGGCCATGGGCACGTTAGACGTGTATGGAGAACCTGCGATTCGTGTGAGTGGAATTTTTGAAAATTTGGATTTTGCATAAAGGCGCCTACTCCATCTGTCTAAATTATTTTCAGCGTTACAGTGTTGTTTCTTCATAATAAAAGTGGAAGCATCTTTGTTATTTTAAATGTAATGCCCGGTATATTATATATTTTTCGGAACTACTTCCATATCTGAAAATTTTTCTATTATATTAACCTATACCAATCTCTAATAGTTTCCGAGATAAGAAATAAAACATGTGTATAATTGACAAAAACATGATCTTGAATAAGCATTGGTTAAATCCTAAATTCGGCATATTGAAAGCTGAAATTTGGTTTATAGGTTAAGGAAAGTAGACATATCCGATCTGTCTAAATCAACTGATCGGATATCAAACAGGGAGGTCAGAAAAAATAATAATTTCCGTTTGTTATAAAATCGTTAAAATTATTGTTATTTTAAACTGAAGCCTATGTATATTATTTAAAAAATAGAAACACAAAAAAATTGCTTTTCAACGGTGAACCATGTTCCTATACCTAAACCTTCTGGTTTCTTCTGGTATACCCTTCGCTTCTTGACTGCATGCTATTATAATAATTGTTCAAAATGACGACCTCCATTTCCAATACATGCTCTCCTTCTTCTGAGCATGGAATTTTTAACGTTTTGCAGCAATTCTTCGTTGCTTTTCCCGAATCCCTCAAATGCTGAACCATACTTACAAAGGTTCGAGCATTAGGGATTTGTCTATTCGGGTACTCTTCGGAATAAAGTCTCCGAGCTTCTACAGCGCTTTCCCCTGTCAGAAAGTACCTATGCTCTTAGCATATCCACCTTCTCCGGATTTGTATACTCCATCGCGATTTGCCTATACCGATACCGATTACCGACACAGAAATATGCACTAACGAACATTTCACAACATTTTAAACACAACCTCCGATCACTTTCTCGAATTTTAAAAGCTCGATACTATTAGAAATTAGATCGATTTCTAATAGTGTACATGCTTTGTGTACATGCGATTAATAATGTCGTTAGTCGTTAATATAATACAGGAATCTGTAATTTTCTCCCCACCGCCTATTGCATTGGAAAAAACCGCGGCAAGTTTTCTGCTTTTGAAATTACGATCGATGGCATTTTATTGTGTAAAAGTGGATGGTAAATGGCATCGATCGTAATTTCTCAGGCAATTTAACGTCTAAAGCAATCTCAGGCAATTTAACGTCTCAAAAAAATGAGTATACCTGCTAGGTATACTCATTTTTTTATCAAAAAAGCTTTATAGAAAAAAAAATAACTGAACATGTTAGTAGCTTTATTACTAATTAAACTATTCAAAACATGTTCTGATATTACTAAAAAAATTTAAGTAAAAAATATAGCAAATTTTATAGTTTGACGACGTTATAATTAACAATAGGCAAATGGAAAAAATTACCTAACTACATATTAGAGACATAATTCCATACCTAGAAATACCGTATGGTCGAAAAAAACGGCGTCCAGAATGGCTTGAAAATAACGGTCGGTGACATTCTCCATAAAATTTTACACATAAATTGACAGCGATCTTTATTTCATAGCCATCGCTGACGCCGTTTTTTTTTTCACGACCATATTGTATTTCCCATTAATCGCATGGTGGCAATACTAATTTATATTTAAAGAGATATATCTAAATGTGTATATACTAGGTATTTTATGAGCAATCATATTTAAGCTATTATGACTCATATCATATTCTAATTACTTGAAACTTGAAACATAATATTTGCTCCTATTATATTCATGTAACTAAATTTTCTAATATTAATAACTCTCTGATAATAAAAAACAAGAGTGTGTTTTGAAAAAGTAAAGCATAATTACTGTGTATTGACTTTATTGTGAAAAGCAACCTATTTGAAACACATTTACGTAACTACAGAATAGTTTAAAAAAGAACTTACACACATGTTTTTTAGTCTATTTTCTTTATTATATTTGAAAAATACAGTCCCCCTTCCAATACATAAAAACATTTATATTCAAATATACTCTAGATAGAGCTCCAATTTTTATATGAAATGAGAATTTGTTCACACATAAACTACCGTATGATCGAGAAAAAACGGCGTCAACGATGGCTATGAAATGAAGGTCGCTGTCATTTTATATGTAAATTTATATAGGAAATGTATATTGATCGTCATTTCCCAGCCAACTGGACGCCGTTTTTTTTTCGATCATATGGTACATTTTATGTATTTTATTCTTTAATTTTAATTACTACAAATGGTCTTGATATCTTTCTTTTGAATACATATATTCTTGTTACTCTCTTTCATCTTTGTCTCTAATATACAGATGCATTGCAATTTGTTGTTAGTATATTTATGTAATCATTTCATAAATCCTAAAAAATAAAATGGTTATAACATGCTTTCCAGATATCCATATCCACAATATTCTGTGTGTAAATATGTTCAATTTTTAATAACCCATTCACTAAATGAGATTGTGAGACAACATACAGATAGCTGTTTAAATAATTTTCAATCTTTGTATGTAATAATAGGTTTCACATATTATATGCATTACACAATATGCATTACCTGCAATAATAAAAGATATTTTCTTTAAAGTGTATAATTCTATCTAACACACTTCTAATAAAGTATACTCTGACTCTTTGAACATTTGTTACAGCTTCTAATAATTAGGTATATCGATAACTTCCTAAGAAATTTTGTTAGCACTTTTAGTTAGTTTACCATTTTTCTCAATATATTCTGCAGAATATAATATGACTCGATACATTCACCTAGAATAAAATCAATAATATCATTTATGAATAGAAAACTACATGTATAACTTTTTCATTAATATTTGCAATTTCAGACCAGAACTTGTCTGAAGAGAACTTTCTTGGTTTGTTTAAAAATATCTTACCGTATAACATAAATTTACATCTGAATTAATCTAATCAGATCAAATTTTCTTCATAGTATAGAAAACATCGAAACTATTTGACTGGTAATCGAGCTATCAATAAGCTGACACTAAAATTTAATGAATAATTAAATGGGATAATTATTTTCATGTAAAACAAAACTTTATACTTAATAAGACCACAGGGAGTACATTATTACAACAGTGTTACTGAGATTTTTGATTTAATGTATTGCTTGGTATTTGTAGATCTGTTATTGTATTGTGATTACAATTGCCTTCTTCTCCATTGATGCTCCTAATTTAAGATTACTGATTTTCTAATACATAATTAAAGTGAAATTATTTTTCCTACCATTACATAATTAATTTCTTCCTACCATTAGGTAGATACCTGAAAGGTTAATAAATTAAAAACGAATTTATTAAGACATTTAAACTGTTTACCTCATTTCTCACATATTTTTGACACCAAACATTATAAATAAATCAAAAAATATTCGTATACCAACTGAATTATATGATATTTCATTTTGAATAATAAAAGTACTTTTTTACAGGTTTATTTGGCATTGTTTGCATTGTTTTTTGTTGTTTTCTGTTTTGTTTTTGTGCGAGTTTAATAACCCACGATTAACCTTAAACATAACCTTAAACTACACACCATACTAGGGATGTACGATTCGAATCGATTATTATCAAATCGACGTGATTTTTATCAAACGATTTTTTGGTATAATCGATCTTTTTTTTTAAATCGAAGACCGATTTTATTTATACAGTTTTACAGGTTTATTTATTTGTTAGAATTTAGAATAAGAAAAAACACTTTAGTTTTGCTGGAATATTTGTTTGCAGTGCATCCCTAGTAAAAGGCCATCTAGCATGAACTGAAAAATTAAGTGTAAGTGCTCGCTGCCGCATGCGCCGATGTTTGTTTATCACTTTAATATCAGGTGTCAGATTTTTGTCGGGGCTTCCCATATTTTTATATTTTAGATAACGTAGAATATTCTTTGATTTTACCTTAATTCTTTCTTGTATTTTTATTTTATTTTTGGGATATCCCTACTCCATACATTAAACATTTAGAAAATTGATTTATCTATCTTTATACAACCACCAAAACGTTGACCCATAATAGTAATACATCAGTCCAGTAGAGGACGCTAAGTCAAAAAATTCCCAAATAAAAAATTGTAATTTGTAATTCCTTCAGTGTTTTCGAAATCGGGGTTGCGTCGGTTTTGAAGAAATGTCGAAGAAAACCCCGGACTGTCTACCATCAGCAGCCGGATATAAGTAGTTATTAAAGCAAGTTTTTTTTAACATTTTTTATTGTATTTATGAGTTTAGTGTTTGATTATTATCATGTGAAAAAATTTAAATAATATTTTAAAAGTGATAAGCATGTGATAGGTTTGTGATTTTCAGTTTAATAGATATTTGGTGTGTATGTGTTTGCGTATATGTGTGCTGGATAAAAACACTTTCATTAAAAGGGTAAGCTCTAACTAAACATTAAAGGTTATACTTGTTTATTGAAACGATTGAAAATATTTTCTAATATGGCGAAAAAAGAAGCTATAATTGTTAAGATTTATTTTTTTCAGTTTACTCCACTGTAAAAAGTATTTAAAATATTGCGCGTTTCACTAGAATTAGTAGAGCAATCTACACTAATATGAATAAAATTAATTTTCGTATTTTTTTCTGTAGCAACTTAAAATAATTGAATTTATAGATAAACATGCAGAATGTGGGTATGGTAGGAGATGGCAACGTTGCATTCTCTCCGACACTCTCTATCACGCTAAACGAATTTCCCGGGGAGTGAACAGTGGCACTCAAAAGTTTTTCAACATTTTCCGGAAAATGTCAAGAAAAATATAAAATTTTCAACATTTTTTTTTCGCAAAAAAAACCTCATAGGCGTGTTTCTGGGGTTGAACTATACTACCAGTTAAAATATCTGCACTCATTTCTGGGACACCCTGTATATAATAATAGAATTATTAATTTTTAAATAGCTCTACTTAAGAAACCGGGAAGTTTAGGTATAGGAACATGATATATCGTTGAAAGCAATTTTGTTAATGTTTGATTTCTTAAATAATATACATAGGGTTGAATTTAAAATAACAAAGATTTGAGCAATTTTATAACAAACTGAAATAAATAATATTTTTGCTCTCCCTGTGTAATATCCATTCGGTTTATTTAGACAGATCGAATATATCGACATACGTTGACTTATAAGCCAATTTCAATTTCAAAAATGTTTAATCAATTATTTTACCAATGCTTATTCATTATCATGTTTTTGTCAATTTCATACATGTTTTTTTTTTCTCAAAAAATATTAGAGATAGGTATAGGTTAATAAAAAAATCATGAGATAAGAAAGTTTCCAAAAATGTAATAATATACTAGCTGTTCCATTTAAAATAAGATACATACTACCACTTTTCAAATGATGCCACAACACTGTAATGCTAAAAATATTTTAGAAAGATGGATGAGATGCCTTTATGTAAAAATCCAAATTTTCAAGAAAAAATCTATAACGTCTAACATGCCATAGTCGTGAATCACCCTATACATTATCGTTGGTTAAACTTGATAAATAACTCTTGTCAAATTATTAAATACTACTTGAAGCCTGAGGCATCCGCCACATCAGAAAAAAATACTTTTTATTTTTTTTAATTAAATGAAAAACAAAAAATCCGGCGACGACAGTTTTTAGAAGAGCCAATTAGCTATCTTTTAGTAAAAAAAGAGCAATTTTCTAGAGCAAGTCGTTACTTCAGTAGAGACGACACAGATAAATATTAGCATTTTATATATGAAGATACTTATTTGAAATTTAATATTCTACAAAACAATGAATATTAATCCATTACCCTAAAATTAAACTCTCAACGATATTGAATTCGAGACTAATTTTGTTTGTTAATTTTGCCGATCAAAGCGCATTTTACAAGCAAACTGTTTTAATGTTGTGTGTTCATTTTAATGCTTGAAATTATATACATATTATATATTCACGAAGTAATATTTTTGTTGCTGGAAATGTAGTATCATTAAAACTTTTATGCCAGCGACACTCAAAGTTTTAGTTCAAATTTTGAGTATAAAGATGAAGTTTATGGTATCTTGCGTTACATTGTGGAATATCCAGCATGTAAAACTTGCCTTAAACGTATAATTAATAATTCAAGACAATCTAAAGTTAACCACTTTTTAGCAAAATAAATAAATAAAAAGCGTTTTAAGTTTAACGTTTTCTTTTTGCTCCTAAGGCTAGTCCACTTTGTTTAAAAACTTTGTTTAAAAGACAAAAAAATAACAAATAAAAAATTATAATAATTAAAATTCTAAGAATAAAATTCTAACAATGCATGTTTAGTTTTATTTTACTCAGAGCACGTCTGGAGACTACGTGTTTTCCTGGCTTAATACAAAAGTTCTGCCAATTTTCTTGCTCGGTAACGATTATTGCACTGCAGAGACCATTTGATATTTTTAATAATAATTTTTCATTTGCTACTTCTTTCTTTAAGAAAACTAAAATGAGAATAGTCCTTGTACTAAATGTAAAATCATAAAATTATGTCTAAGGCCCGTATTTATAGTCGCGTCTCGAGACGCCAAGACAGTCTTGGGCTCTTGAGAGCGCAAACCACAGAATATACGAGCTTCATTTCGGAGACTGCGATTTTCATTTTGGAGATTGTCATTTTGGATAGTTTATGTGATCTGTGGATAGTTTTTTAACCTAACTTTTTTAGTAAACAAAGTAAATCCGTTTTGTCTGATTAAAACAGTTTTGAATATGTTAGAAGAGTTTGAGGATATTTTGGACCATGTGGAAGAAGAAAATCGTCTTCGAGTTCCAAAAAGATATATACGGGATGCAGGAAATCCAATAGAAATGTTTAGCGAAGAGGGGATTTATGCCGATATAGGTTTAACAAGGCTGCAATTACAGAAACTCTTTTACCTCTTATAAATTGAAGACTTGCAAAAACCTACCAATCGTGGTTTACCCATTCTCCCCGTTATTCAATTACTAATTTGTTTACAGTTTTATGCGACTTGTAATTTTCAGATGGTAAATGAATGATGGAAATGACTTGCGTGGTGTTAGCCAACCTACAATAAGCCAGATAATCAAGAATAATGCAATAATGTGGAAGTATTTCAAAATCGGAAAAGTTTTTTTAGTCTAAATGTTCAGGTCCCAAAAGGGAAATTATGAATATTATAGTTGGATATCCAGTAAGGGAATCATCCAGTATCCAGGAGTCAAGTCATGGTAGTGTTATATTCGATCGAAGTAATTTAAGAATGCTAATGGAAAGGCGTGATATTCCTGGTTTACTTCTTGGAGACAATGCATATAGATGTAGGCCATTTCTATTGACTCCTGTTTTACAGCTAGGTAATCAACAAGAAACCAGGTATAACTTTGCCATAGAAGAATGCGAAATGTTGAAAGGCTATTTGGGACTTGGAAAAAACGTCTTCCATGTCTCCGAGGTTTACAAAACAACTGTTCCTATTATTTGTGCAACAGCTGTTCTTCATAATATTGGTTTAAGGAAAAATTTAGATGATTTTGAAGATGCTAATTTACACATTCCAATTATAAATAAAAAGGAAGAGAGTTAGATTTTTGAAGAAATCTTATTCAACATTTTGCAAATTAATGATTTATTGTATTAAT